ATATTTCCAGGTCCATTCATCATTAAAAGCATGGCACTCTGAATGAACTTTATGTTTTTTAGTAGTCATTTTGGGGTATTTATGAATAACCCAAAGAAGCACTGGCTACGCTATACTTTTAATAACTTCATCATATTTACATTGATGCTATATATCCGCAACCTTTCAACAATCAATAATATTAGAACTTGCGCCAAAAGAAAAAGCTGCTGGTTGGAGCTTAAAATGTGCAGTCTACCACATATGAGGTCTAATTCACCTATATTGGATCCCCGTATGTCTGCTACCCGAGAAAGATATAATGCTTGCAGGCGCCAATCTACAGCTATAATCAATAAAGAACTTCCTCTTTTAACACTTTACCTATTGAACGCTGTCTGTACTTGCTATTTCCCTTGATTTATCTTTTGTAGAACAAAAATAGAGAAAGTAAAAAGATCATCAGTCCTTTGAAAAAAGGGAAGGGAAAAAATATATTTAAACAAAGTAGAAAAGGAGATTGATATATAGTATATAAATATATATTTCTTTTAATTTGCCATGGACCAGTAAATTAAAATTCTCTCTGCAGGTCGTAGTTGGCCCATCCCTGCCATAAAACTTTAAATATGTCTGCAGAATTATTGTAGGGAATTCCTCATAATGCAGAATTACAATTTTAATTCAATATTCCAGTATATTTAATAATGCAACATAGCTATAATCCCAAGTGAATGGGATTATCAGGCTTTCGCCATATATTTTCTGTATATTTCTTTTCTTTTCTTTTTAATGGTTTAATTTCTTATAATGTAATTTAGCATAAGTTCCCTGTTGTGCTGTATCTTCTGAGTTTGTATTTACAAAAAACTTACAACCTATGGTTTTCTTTTGAAAATCACTTTCTCATGGTGAATATAGCATTGTCGAAAATTAAAAATTGTTGCTGACAATTTTTTAATTGATTACAATTTTAAATACTCAGGCTTGTCAAAATTGTTAAGTGAATCAGATTTTTTTACTTCCTGCTACGAAGTAAACTAAATATTGTAATTGCGAAAATTTTCAGGTGTCATATTTCAACGAAACTATCTATTTTGACCACTACTGAATGCAATTTAATGATGTATTTGCATGACATCTGTACGTAAGGACAGATAAAGGACTGATTTAAAATGGATTTAGAAGAGATTTTTTGTGATGTCTGTCTGTATGTATGTATCTCCATAACTCAAAAATGAGTACCTTCAGAACTTTGAAATCTTGTATATAAGACTGCTGTAGCATGTAGTTGTGCACCTCCCTTTTTGGTTGCAATCAGTCACACTAAAAGTATGTAAATATATATGTATATCATACCCACTCTGTTACTTGGCTCTGTGAGCTCAGTTTTTTTTTATTCTTATATGTTGGTAAATTGTGCATTTTTTGCTTTAAAAATGATTGGATTATGTTTTTCTTAACTTCCAGTTAAGTTTCTTACGGCTTTAGTTAATCTGCATACAATATTAGTAGAATTATCAACAATTTAAAAGTTGTTTAAGTGCAGCTAAGCCTAATTTTTGTTCATCTCAGCAGCCATATTTGTTTACATTAGAAACTTAGCCAAATAGTGAATTCAGTTTCTGCACCTTCAGTGTCTTTTTGGCCGAGTGGGACCAAAATTAACTTTTCATTTTTGTGCACTGAAAAATCTGCCTTGTTGCCTGCTAGCCGAATTTCTTGTTTTTGCATAGAAACTCTAATTTTAATTGTAAAAATTATGTTTTTTTTTATTGTTTTAATTGTATTTGGTGTTTTATTTTTTCCCCTATACTTTTCAATTTTTAATAAAGATATTTTGATAAAGGTATTTTGAGGTTTTATGTATTTTTACCTTGTCGTAAACTGAGAAGAGAATTAATTGAATGAGAAATATATCTCTAATAAAATTCGAGGAAATAAGTGTTTCCTATTAGCAGCAAATAATGCCATCAGTTTGTCTTGGACAGAGGAGAATGTTTTCAAGTAGCACATACACATTAGGTAAATGGCACTGAATTAATTGTCTGTGAAAAACTCTTTCTTATTTGTTTAATTTCTTTTATACATTGTTTTAGATTTATTATAGTATTTGAACAGAACATGTGGCAACGATTATATAATTCTTCAGATGATATAATTTTTGTGCATTCTGAGTTATAAAACGAATGTACTGCTGTTAAGTGAACCTAGCGCCAGAGTGTCGCTATGGTAAATAAATATCGTGAGTTTTAAAGAGTTTATTTATTATTATTATTATTATTATTATTATTTATTTTAAAGAATTCATTTTAAGTAGATTTAATTCAATTCAACTCGTTTAAATGAAATACAGAAAAAAAATGCATATAATTTAATATTCTGTACAAGGAAGTCGTGGTGCTCACATCAGATTTTTTTTCTATAGCAGCTATATTTGTGTACATTTGAAGCTTAGCATAATAGTGAATTAAGTCAGTTTTTGCACCTTTCAGCTCGACACATTTATCCTCATGCTGCACAGATACTGTACATTTACAAACATCTATGCCTCCTCAGGGATTCGAACCCAAGCCCTTTAGTGCGGCAGTTAGAGTCACAGAGTCACTAAACACTATCCCAGTTGGACAGCATAAAAAATTTTTAAAACTAATGGTTTGGTTTTCAGTGTTCGTAGGATACACAGCATTAAAATTTAGTTTATACTTTATCTTTGCAACTTTGTCTCTTTAAGTGTTAAATACTTTTTCCAAAAGAGAATAATCAACTTTTGATATTTCCTTTAGAATTTCGAATTTAGGGAAAATAAATTTTTTCTCTAAATTAATTTAACGAATTATTGTGAACAGATTTTAACATATTAGTGGAATCAAATATTACAAATAACTTTTTTTGGATTCATCAGCTGAATCAGCTACATAAAAATTACTACTTAAACTCTGCAAGCATGACAACTTAGAAAACATGTTTCGGTTAATTCTATTATTGTCTGCTATCAAACATGCAACATTAATATTTGCGTGCTTGCGTAATGCAAAGCTTGCGTTGTTAAATAAGGTAAATCTTCAGCAGTCATTTTAAGTACTGGTACCAGTGCTATAATTTCATTGTATTTTGAAAGTAATGAGCATTCCATAAAAACTTGCATTGTTTTCACTTTTACGCTGACTTAATTTTGAGCAAAACCAGAAAGTGCTTTACCTTTGTGTAATATTTTTGGTTTTATAGGAATTTAGTCAATGAGAAGGTTCACAGTGTGTTCTTTGGTTGAAAGTGCATTTCATTTACTTTTTAAGAAACATTATTTGTCAGTCATTATTTGATTTAATTTCAAACATGAAGTCAGTCTTTTCAAATACCTTACAGATAACAAACATCTTTACCTAATTGCTTGCAAGAACTGCTTTATAACATCTTTAGATTTCATATATAAAAAGAGTATGCAAATGCCGTCAGATAACTGCTGTACCTTTCCTTTTTGCAAGATTTTTCGAACAGTTTCCTTTGCTCCAAAACAAATTGGCCATCATTATACTCCTATACAATGTTCTCGTTCTGTATCAAATCTTTTCATGAAAGTTAATACATTCTGAAATCCATTTCGCAGTGTGTTCTATGGCATTTCATTACATATTTACGTTACTTTATCCATATGAACAGGCTTGTTATCATAAAATATTTCAGCATTCACTTCTTTATTTATATTTAAGCACTTTTGAATGCACGTAGCTGGACAAAAACAAAAGTATAACAAATAGTTCATCATAATTTTTATAGACCATGAATTTTGTATTTTTTTAATTGTTCCTCTAAATTTTGATGTTAGTATTTATTTCCGTTCTACCTCTTCTGACTGCTGATGGAGTTTCAGTCCTATATATTGACAGCTGTTAAATGTGCATGAAAATGCATCATTTTTTAACATTGGGCTTTTTTTTTTCGGAATTCTTAAAATTGCCTCATCTTTATCTATGAATACATTGTGCACGATAATATCTTTACGGAAATGCTTTTCACAAATGACACTTCATTTAGATAGAATGGAATTCATTTGAGGAATCTTATGGGACCACAACTGCTTTTTCACATCATCCGTTTGAAATTTGTATGCATGTAATTTTTAGTTTCAGGCATAATCAGAATTACACTTAGGTATGCAACAATGATCAGGCATTGCCGTCACTATTGACATGTCAGTACCAAACAAGAAACTATACTGACTTGGAAAGACTAAAACAAGAAACTGTTCTCACTATATAAGATCTTCGGCACTCCTCGTGGTAGTTACAAGATTAATGGATGGAAAATATGACTCATCTCTGACCAGCTTGACAAGTGTTATGGCTTTTTCCTTCCTTAAAGATCATGGGTGTTACTGGCCACATTCCAAGCATATCAGAAATTTGCCCAATTGCAGTATGGGCCAATAAAATTAAATAATTTTCCAAGTTTCAGTCGTCTGAAGCTAAATTTAACCTATTAAGTGACCAAAACTTAGTTCTCTTTTTAGATAATAAGTTACTAATTTACAAGACAATGTTGCATCCCATTATCACATACACATATCCCATCTGAGGTTATGCATGTAAAATTAAGCAGCTTCAAGTTACTGTTCTGGAAATTAGCAAAAGCAGATGGTTTATTAAAAAACAATCTCTTCATGAGGAACTCGGTATTGACAAGGTTAATATATGCTTGCAGAAATTTTTGAAACATTCTTTAACAACATAGGTAAAATTAATGACGACCCAATTCATCTAATGGATTATGATTATTTTGCAGTCTGATGTTAGCAGTCGTCAACAACCTAGAGCCGGTTTACTGCACTTAACTTCTTTTTGCTAGAACATAGTTTATCTAAGTACTTAAAGACTTTATTTAATATTTAATTCGTTTTTATTTTTTTTTCTTTCCTGAAGGGAGAAAAATCCTCAATTTTTTTCTGTTAATTCTAAAATGTATGGTTCTGAGAGAGTTGCTGTCCCTGACTGAATTGCTAGTGTTATTTATTCTTTTAACAGCCATTCCTATCACTCCTGACCATCAACATGACTAGATGTCACACCTCCTCTGTGATCATATAGCCAAAGTTCATTCTTTGGTCCAACCTCCTGGATAGAAGTCAGTTATTCGAGTTTTGACCTATGATCATGCAGCATGCCACTTCACATCTCTCATGAGATAATGGTTTGTCATTTATCCACGTTGCTGTCATGAATCATTAGCAATTACACATTTTTCTATGCCATGGAAAATGTATCAGATAAATAAAAATACATGAAACTATGAAAAATCCATAAATGCCAAAGCATAAATAAATGAATGCAATTACTTACATCAATATACTGTATATATATCAACAAAAATTTAAAAAAAAATATAAACATGCATTGTATTTTCCCACATTAAACTGCTGAAAAATTATCAGTAAAGTCATAAAGTAAGAAATTTAGAACTAATTTTTCACTAAGACCAAAAATTGAAATTCATAATTAATAAATTTCAAATATTCCTATAAATGCAATAAAGAATTTAAAAAAAGTTAAAACCAAAACTTTTCAAACAAGTAATACTCCAATTTAAAAATTAATAAAATTTAAAGAAAAACAAACATAATAGAAGAGGAGGAATTCAATCAACTTCAATGCCACTTCTTCAGGAGGAATACTGAAATCTTCTTTCCACAAAAATCCATGCTTTTCTGTATCCAAAATTAACTGGTGAACCATTTCAATGTACTCTAATAATAACAGTTTACCCAAAAAATTCTGGCCGCTCTTCAAAGCAAGGAAAGAAAAAAAAAATTCTAATTAGAATCCTGTACCTTAAATAAAGATAATTCTAGTTAAAAAATGAAAACGTAAGTGAAATAATAAAATACTTCAGTGAAAAATTCATATCAAAATTTACCTTTAAATAAATAGCATACAATCCAAAGAATTTAAAATGTAAGTGAAATTATAAAATTTTCATGAAAAGACTTAATTTAAACTCACAAGAAGCAATTAAAAACTTCAAGCTTTTTCCTTAGAACACGATTGAAACTATGAAGATCGTCTTTTTACGTTTGCCATTTTGGCTTCACTGGCAAAACTAAAATACCTTGGTGAGAAATGCTCTTAAGGCTAAAAATTGGAACAAAAGATGGAATTTTGAAACCAAACGAAAAAATTGTATATACTTCTATGAAAATTTTAATTTTGACAAAGAAAAATATTATTTTACTAAATTAAAATGAAATTTAAGTAAATTATGAGTCTTTTGAAACAAAAATGGTAATAAAGAATATCATTCAGTGTAAAACTTTAATTAAATTTTTAAATCAATTATTCTTTAAAAATAGTAAACTCAAAAAGTGCCCAAAACGTCGTCAAAATTTGTTTAATAATTGTTTTGTAAGTATGAGTAGAAAAGTCCGTAAAGTTGAATTTTAGATTTTTTAAAAATATTCTTATTTAAAATTACAGGAAAAGGTTGAAAAAGAAAGTAAAGGAACTGTTGTTAGAAAAATAAAAAGTCTTCACCCCATTGCGCTTATCATGATGACTCTGAATGTGTAAGCCCTCTGTTTAATAACAGAATAGTGATCAAGAGAAAAAATAAGTAAAAAATATAAAAATCCTATAAACCCTTTAAAACATACTTCTCTTTTGGAGCTTTCAGATAAAAAAATTCACTTTTAAAAAGTATTATAGGGTGTAGACTACTTCAGATTTCTTCAAAAGGCTATTAATGAATTTTAAGGGAATTTTATTTTCTTTTAAAACTTTGGTGAGATTTAGCATTTCTTCTTTTTGCGTTTCTATTTCAGTGTAAACTTTCTTAATTCTGCTAATCTGGTTAATAATAGTATTTGGAGTAACTTTTTTAGATATGTTGGAGTTCCAATTTATAAGTTTATTAGTAGAAAAATTAAAAATCTTTTCTTTTATCAAAAAGTTCAATTTTTGCTAGATTATGAATACTTAAAACAAGATAAACTATTTCTGTTTCGTTTTTATTGGTTTTATTAAATTTTAGACAGTTTGGGTAGATGTTGCTGTTTTCAATGAGATTATATTTGTTGAAAGTAATAATGTCATCAATATATCTATAAGTGTGTTCAAATTTACTAAAATCATTATCAGAAAGATTCTTTAGGAATTTGAATTCTTTAGAAAATATAAATAATTTACAAATATGAGTGGCTTATGAACTTCCCATTGAAAATCCTTGTGTTTGCAGGTAAAGAAAGTTTGAATGTTTAATATAGTTATTGTATAGCGAAAAATGTAGAAATTCTTTCCTTTTTCCGTAAATCCAGAATATTAAGTATCTCAGGGAAAAAATTCTTTCATTTCTAAAAGACTTTCGTATGTATCTATATATAAACTATCTATCCCCTCACTTCTTTAGTACGAAAATGAAATGTTGTGATATTGCGTAACTTTCTTAACTTCAGGACTTTGAAAAAACTAATAATAATAGATTTTAAGCTTTTTCTCAAAACAGCAAACTAAGGTTTCCTAAATTCGAAATGTTATATTTTTAATGGAGACGTTTAGCTTCGCTTTACTATCTTTTACTAATAAAAAAAAAAAAAAAAAAAAAAAAAAATCGAAAAGTTAGTTAAGGAGCCTATAATTCAGCCTTAAGTTTCATGGAAGAGGTGTCCTAATATCCTGGACACATTTTATTCGTTTAACTGGTGTACAATGGCAGTGTTAGTAGGTGCCGCTTCATGTGATTGCGGTTAATGTTATTATTCGGATTTGTTATCGATTTACCGCAATCGTGCCGTGTATACACGAAAACATGGACTACATTGCTTATTGTGATCATTAATTTGGTTAATATGGTCAAAATATTACGGAACCTTTTTTTTAAACTACAGTCCGCAAATAAAATATAAAATCGCCAAATAAGGTCGAAATAACTACAAAAATTGCCAAATGACAGAGAAATGTCTCTAAGTGAAGTATTAAGTCGTCAAACAACTTGGTTTCGATTTCAGTCAACCATTTAAAACTAGGCAAAAAAAAAAAAAAAAAAAAAAAAAAAAAAATTTTTTTTTTTTTTTTTTTAGTTTGACATATATTTTGAATAACTGTCGATTTTGAGGGTGATCAAACATAAGTTTTTCTTCTCGGGAAATAAAAAACAAATGTGCAGGGAGTCTCGGGAAATAAAAAACAAATGTGCAGTGTTCCCTGAGGGAAAAAAATCTCGGAAGCCATTTACGACAAACTAAGGTTGCTTTTTTGCTTTACTGAAAATTTTACATTGTTCTCTTCCATTGAGCAATGCTTTTCGAATTACTGTAAAAATATCCGTTTATATGTTTTTAGTTATATTTGTATTAAATTAGTTAAATTTCACTACTATTTTGGGCGAAATTTTTTCTCATCGTTTAATACTTTCATTCGGTTAATGCTGTCAAAATATGTGGACAAACGTTATCACATTAAGCGACGCCTAATGCATATTCAAATTGTCTGTATTTGATTTTGATTGCTTTAGTTTCAAATGGGTAGATTTTATTGTATCCTTTTCTGAAATACAACTCTACGCAACAGAATGCGACGGGATTTTAAGTAAATTTCGTAACGGACTGCTTAGAGACTGTTGTGAAATGCTGTAACATTCGAAAAAAGCGGACTTTTTCTCTTTTGAGTTCGGATTATGGGGCATTATATCATTTTTATGTATAAATTGGTATATTAGTGACTCATTTTTATCAATTTTATACAATACCGATTTCTTCTGTCCTTACCTTTCAAATTATTGCAAGTTCTGAAACACAAAATAAATAAAGCATCAAATGCATAGGGGAACTTTCTCATAACCCCTGCCCATTTCCGTTAAATATGCTATGAAAATTTATTCCCAAACTGCTGCTTATTAGCAGTGGTGAAATCCGGTGGCCCGTAGTAGACGTTTATTCGTAAGTATGGAAATCGTTCTTTTTAGAGGAAATAAATGAAAAAAAGGACTTGAAATCTATTATCTTTTAACGACCGAGTGGACGTCTAGCCAAGCTTGACAAGCTTCGACAAGACCGGCCCTGATATGAGCTTTACCAGAAGACATCTTTGTCCTCTTTCAGAATTGGGGTGTCGAATCGGTCTCGTATCCGAAATTAAATTGTCAAGGCGAGTCAGAACATAGTTGAGGTAGCAAGTTTTAACTCATTGTTTAGCCTCTTTGTATTATTCTAATGAATTTCACGGTTAATTTGCTTGCCCATGCCCATCCAAATCAATCGTAATTGTTTTTTCGTAACGTAATCCTGTGATTGATTGCATTCATGCAAGATATTCGCCCAGAAAGCATGGGTACGTGGTTGAATTTTTAATATTCTTTTGGGAATGGGTGCATTTTCGTAATGAAGTAAATTTGGAAAAATTAGCTTTCTAAGTTTCTTGCTGCACTTTGAAAGGGTCCCCCCCCTATTTCGGAAGGATTGGGAGGGGGAGGAATCTAAGAAGGATTAATATCGGGATGAAGAGAATTTTAGTGCAGTAGAATCTCGATTATCCAATTCAGCATTATTCGAGATGACTTCGTATCAGTGGCATGGCTTTGCCCCCCAGGCCGGTCTTTGAGTTTGCCATGTGGGTCATTTTTGAATCTGCTACGCCTCTTGATATACAAGCAAATAATTTGAAGTGTCAAAATGATATGCATGGAGATTAATTAAAATTTTACGTGCATTTTTAAACATTTTAAAATTATATTATTTGACTTGCGACTTCCTTATACGATGTAAAGGAAGTATATAATCTTGAAAAATTGCGCGTAGCATATTTCAACAAAAACATCCATTTTGACTATTTTTCTGCGTGACGTCTATGTACGAGCAGAATAAAAGATTCCACCCCAAAAATCGGTTTGTAAAATGCCTATAAAATATATTTAAAATGGATTTTTTTTTTTTCCGTGACGTTTGTACGTGCAGACGCATGTATTTTGCGAAAGCGATTATTCGTAGCGATTGCGGATAATCTCAAAAGCGATTATCTGTAGATCGATGAAATTTTACATATGGGATTGCTATAACATCTAGTTATGCGACTCCCTTTTTTAAAGCAATCGACGGTATCAAAAGTTTATATATATATACGTATATTGTTTAATAAGAAACTAATAGTAAAGTTTCAATTTTTATAATTTAAAATTTAAATTAGTTTTATACAAGTAGAGAATATTTGTGATATGTACATAAACCCATCTCCTTACCCTGCCTGTATTTCCTCAATCGTTGGCCGTATTGCGGAAATTGTAGTC